GGACCAAGTTGGGGTTAAATTGGTAAACAGTAGGGACCAAGTTGGGGTTAAATTGGTAAACAGTAGGGACCAAATTGGGCATCCGTACAATAGTTTAGGGACTAACTTGGGAGTCCGTACTATAGTTTAGGGACCAACTCAGGGGTCCGTATAATAGTTCAAGGACCAAATTAGGGATTTCTTTAGTTCAGGGACCAAATCGGGGGTCCGTACAATAGTTCAGGGACCAAAATAGGGGTTTAACCTAAAAAATTTCATATTGAATTAAATAAAACCAAATTCAACCCTTCACAATATCAATAAAATAAATGCTAAGATAGTAAAATAAGTTATGCTTCCTCTTGTTTGTTTGTTATCCTAGTCTCCTAATTTTAAGTAAATTAACTTTAGAGTATATTTGGTTTTAAGGAGACAGTGAAAGGGGAGGGAAGAGGAATATTGAATTTTTTAACCAATAAAATTATAATATTTTTAAATATGATAATTTAATTAATAAAAAAATCCATTTTTTCCCTTCTCTCCCCTTAAACTAAACATACATATAATTTTTATTTTTTTTTGAAAAAACATACCTTTGATTTTAAATAGCAAAAAAATGACAATTGAAAAGAAAAATTAATCCAAGTGAATATATTCAACAAAAATTACATATATTGATAAAACATTTTTTACATGGTTTTTAGTGAAAATACTCAACAAAAATTACATGTAATGATAAACCTTCTTTGCATGGTTTAAAGTGAAAGTATTTAAATCATATTGGACATTTTCGAACCTTGATTTTCTTGCATGGTTTAAACCTTCTTTTAAGTTTAGCTTAATGAATAGTCCTTATGAATGTTGCATATTTGTTTTCTTGACTTTTTTGTTTGTTGCAACCTTGCTTCATATGCAATGCCTCTTAAGTTTATATTTTCCACATACATTTTTAAGTCCTTTAACTTTAACTTTTGACATTCAGTTTTAGATAAAAAGACAAATAATATATATATTTTTTATAATTTAAGGATAAAAAAAATATAAGAAATAATTTAATGACTACAAATTTTCAAAATTAAAGTTTAAAAACTAAAAATATTATTTAACCTTTTTTTTCCACATCAAGTTCAACCTCAACAAAATTGAGTGTATGAATTAAAAAATTGATGAGCTTTTCAAAGTCAACGTGCCACACTAGATTCTTTTAATGGAAGGGTTGCTTTTGTGCTCTTTTCGATGCTTAAGAGAGTGAAAAAGTGCTAAAATTAGTTAAAGGATAAAAATGTGTATAATAATAGAGCGCAGGGACTAAAAAGCATTTAGCAAAAGAAAAAAGGAGAAGCGATCAAAGTACTAAGTAGCACTGGACTAACAATATGTTGGTCTGTAAGGAAAAGAATACGATTCCTTTTAAATAAAGTTTTGAATGTGAATTTTGTAAATGAATAATAAATATTAAGAGAGCTTTATTTTTAATAAAATTTGATGTAATTTAATTTTAAATTAATTGATATCTAATGAGATCAGTAGGATTGCCAGGTTATAAAAAAAAAAATGTAGTAGTACTCGATGTAATTGCTCAGTTGTAAAGTGTGAAGAATGGTTAAACACAACCCATGAAACCAAATCAGATTAAAAACCTCAGCCTATTGTAAGAAATTCCTCTGAGCTGTTCTTGATTCATTTCGATACTGCACAACAGAAATTCATTCAGTTTCACATGTTGATGACCAATACCCTGCAAAATTTCATGGTCAGTCACATACCCGTATGCTTACTCTCCATTGTTTGCGTATAAATATGTGGTTAATTGCGTTTGTTTGATTTATAATTCAATACTTTTGGAATTTTTTTATTGTTTTGTAGTATTGGGATATGAATTTCTATATAGAGATTGATTGTTAGGTTGTGGGGTTTAACAGTCTCTTTAGTGGGTTTCTTGAATTTTCTCAAAAGGACTAGTTGAAGGAATTCCAACTCTACAAGGGATTCTATGTGTTATCTAGATTGAGTTTGTATGCTTTGTTCATCTGTGTTTTGTTCTTTGTGAAGGTGTAGAGAGAACTTTGGAGGCAATATGGAGAATCCCATTTTTGGTAATCCTTTACATGTTATTGGTAGCTTTTGTGGGGAGGATGGTGTTGTTGGAACTTTGTGAAAGCTCTTGCTTTTCCTTGTTTTCATTGGATTAAAAATGCCAAAGGTTCTGCTTTATGGTCGTGAAATGGTGGTGGGTTTTACTCTTTTTCAACTTTCACTATGATTCTTGGGTCCAGTAGATTCTGGGTTACAATGAATGAGTAAAATGAAGTGGTGATTGATTTAATTGTGGTTCATTTAGAGAAATTCCTGATTTAAGAAAAGGGTGAAAATCAAACTAAACTAAACCAGTGTAATTACTATAGTGTAAGGTGTGATAAATAGTTAAACACAATTTATGAACCTATATCAGATTTAGAGACTTGGCCTATTATAATATATTCTTCTGAATTTTTCTTGATTCATCTCGATATTATGCAATGGAAATTCAATTGGTTTCACGTGTTGCTGATCCATAGCCTACAAAATTTCATGGTCAGTCATATAGTTATACCTTCTCCTCATTTTTAGGGTATAAATTTACAGTTAGCTAGGTTTGTTGAATTTATAATTTACTACTTTTAGAATTTTGTGTGTTTCTTGGTATTGGGATTTGAATTTTCAGCACAGATTGATTGTTTAGCTGTAAGATCTAACAACCTCCTGTGGGTTTGTTTAAAAAGGGATTCCAGCATGACGAGATTCTGTAGGTTATCTAGATAGATTTTATGTTGTTTGGTCATGTAGGCTTTGTTCTTTGTGAAACTGTAGAGAGAATTTTGGATGCAACACTGGGAATCCCATTACTAGTAATCCTTTTGTTTCATTGGCAGCCTTTGTGGGGAGGATTGTGTAGTGGGAACTTTCTGAAAGCTCTTGCTTTCCTTGTTTTCATTGGATTCAAAATGACTGAGATGTTGCTTTATGGTTTTGAAATGGTGGTAGGTTTCACTCTTTTTAACTTTCATGATGATTCCTGGTCCAATAGATTTTGGGTTACATTGAATGAGTAAATTGAATTAATGCTTGATTTAGTTATTGTTTATTCTTAGAAATTCTTGATTTTCTTGTTGAGAGTATAGAATTGGAGATTCCTTGTACCATGTTTAAATTTTGGTATGGTGGTATTTGCATATTGCTTTTAGACAGGCTTCTTTGATTAAAAAGAATCAAGTGAAAAGGAGTCAATGAAACTAGAGGAGAACTCTTGAGAAGAAGTAAGAAAAAGATGTTATCAAAGTCCACGAACAGGGCTAGTTGTTCTAGGAGCAGTTCTTCTCAGTCAAAGAAGGATGCTCGTGTGGTTGCACAAAGCACAATTGATGCAAAGCTACATGTGGACTTTGAGGAATCTAAGAGGTTGTTTGATTACTCTACTTCAATTGATTTTAACATCTCAAGCTCAACTAGCAATGTCTCCTCCTCTACAGTGTCAGTGTACCTTCAAAAGATGCAGAGAGGCAGTCTTATTTAGCTTTTTGGTTGCTTGATTGCAGTTGATGAGCAAAACTTCATGGTTCTTGCCTATAGTAAAAATGCCCCAGAAATGTTGGAGTTGTCTCCTTATGCTGTTCCAAGCATAAAGCAGCAAGAGGCGTTGACTTTTGGAACTGATGTACGTATGCTTTTTCAGTCCCAAGGTGCAGCTGCTTTGCAGAAAGCAGTGAGTGTTAGGGAAGTCAATCTTCTCAATCCCATATCGGTCCACTGTAAAACATCTGGTAAGCCCTTTTATGCTATTTTGCATACAATTGATGCTGGGTTAGTTATAGATCTAGAACCAGTGAATCCTGCTGATGTGCCAGTGACAGCTGCTGGGGCTTTAAAATCCTATAAGCTGGCAGCCAAAGCAATATCAAGGTTGCAGTCTTTGCAAAGTGGGAATATCTCACTTTTATGTGATGTTTTAGTTAAAGAAGTTAGTGATTTGGTAGGTTATGATAGGGTGATGGTGTATAAATTTCATGAAGATGAGCATGGGGAAGTTGTTGCTGAGTGCCACAGACCAGACTTAGAACCCTATCTGGGTTTGCATTACCCAGCTACTGACATACCACAGGCCTCAAGATTCCTTTTTATGAAAAACAAAGTCAGTATGATTTGTGATTGTTTTGCACAACCTGTCACGCCCCAAAACCCAATTTCGAGACGCGACAGACGCCGTGCACTCGTGAGACGGGTCCCACAAATGCACAAGGCTTGGAACTTATCATATCACACTCTGATACCATCAAAATCTGAAGATCAAATCTTTAAAATTTACTCTGATATCATAAATCTCCAAATACAAGATCATGATTCATATCTAAAATTTATATCCAATTACAATATGGCTAGCCTTCTAACTCGTCACTTCTCGTGGTTTCCCCGTCCTCGATTTCACTTCCTGAAATGGTGGACAAGGAAAAACTATGAGATAAACTCAGTAAGTAAATATGAAGTGCCCCTTATCAAACTTAAAGCATGCCAACAAGTACAAGCACGAAAACAGATACAGTACGGGCACGAAATAGATGTCTCCTCTATAGGTCACGGCCAGTGTATAATCCCCACTAACAGGGCCACGATTTGCTGGTGTATAACCCCCACTAGCTGGGTTGAACGAACCGACTCTTTCACTAACATGTCGACATGTGCTAGCGTTTATAACCTCCCCCACTAGCAGGGTCACGAATAACATGACCACATCAGAGACAAAATAGGCAGAAGTTAACAGGAAAATCACGATTCACAATCACTTTCAGATCATCAGGACAGTCACTCAAATTTCAAGTAGGCATGCTCAATTTCATGAAAAGCACAAAACATTTCACTTCAAATCAGTTATACTTGTGTAAAATGGGTTTAGTCCCGCCACCACTTCAAAAACAAATCAAAACATGCTTGAAAAGTCAAAGGGCGTTACCATAATTTACTTATCTCACTCGCATAAAACCGAGCACTCAATTCACGTACTAAACTGACAGGACGATTATGAACCTAATCAAGATATTTCAAGAATTAATACCACTATCACAAATTCAAGGTAAACTCATCATTAGGATCATTCCTAATCACAATGCTATTTCCATCACTTTCCACATGATCGAACATCTCCAAATTTGTTCTCATATCACAAACTAATCATTTAAATTCCCGTTAAATGTTGGCCCTCGGGGTGTGAACAGTGCGGTGAACAGTGACCCACAACGTGAACAGTAACTCTACTTCCAAAATTGGCCAAAACACTAGCTAATCTCACGGGATTTCACTCCAAAAATCACAGCAATCAATTAATACTCAATCACATAAATTCACTTGAATCAAGCTAAATCATGGTCTAATTACTATCAATTTTCTTCCCCATTTTTCTACCAAAATTCGGACATCACGCGGCAGCAAACTAATCAAGCTAATTCTACCTTAATCAAGCTTAAAAACAATGGTTTAAGGCTGCCACATACCAGAATTTTCCAATAAGAACCGGAGCTACAGGGGGAGAGAAGCCGGCGGCAAGCTGCAGGGAAAGCTCACGGGTTTACCCAAAAATTGGAGGAACAAGAGCAATGAAAGTAAACCCAGGGCAATTCAAGCAAGAACAAAGGAAATTAGGGGCTGTTCTTACCGAAAAATGCCCAGAAATCACCCATACCCACTAGCAGCCGGCGGTGAAGACAAGCAAAGCAAGCCAGATCCGGCTTTTCCAGCAGGGGGGAAGATTTCTGGGTTCTAGGTGTGTTCTAGAGCAAGAAAGGAAGGAGAAAACCAAGCTTATCTCACCGGTTTCTCAAAGTTTGGTTGGGTTCCCCTTTTTTTTTTCTTTCGAGTGGCTGCAACGGGAAGAAAGAAGAAAAAGAGCAGAATCGAGCAAGGCTGGGAAGAAAAGAAAGAAAGAAAAAGAAAAAGAAAAAGAAAAGAAGTCATCCTTATCCAAAATCTTTCTCTCTTTAAGTCCCTCAACTTTCAAAATGTTGGCCATCAAGCCCCAAAACAATCTTTTGTCACAATCAAGTCCTTAACTTACACTTAAATATTCCCAAAAATTTGGGATATTACACAACCAGTTAAGGTGATCCAAGATAAGAGATTGGCTTAGCCATTAAGTCTTTGTGGATCCACTTTGAGATCCCCTCATGGGTGTCATGCACAATATATGGCAAATATGGGTGCGATTGCCTCTCTTGTGATGTCTGTGACTATTAATGAAGATGATGAGATGATGATGATGTGGACAGGGATCAAGAGAAGGCCAGAAGACCGTGGGGCTTGGTAACAAAGAGGTGGAGTTGGCTGCCCAAATGAAGGAGAAGCATATTCTGTGAACTTAAACCGTGCTTTGTGACATGCTGCTTAGAGATACTCCTGTAGGAATTGTTACTCAGTCCCTAAATGTTATGGATCTTGTTAGGTGTGATGGAGCTGCACTTTACTACAAAGATAAGCTTTGGCTTCTAGGTGTTACCCCAATGGAGGTACAAATTCGAGAGTTAGCTCAGTGGCTTCTTGAATACCACGGTGGGAGTACAGGTTTAAGTACCGATAGCCTCATGGAAGCTGGCTATCTAGGTGCTTTTGTTCTTGGGAATGTAGTTTGTGGGATGGCTACAGTTAGGATTTCTTCAAAAGAATTCTTATTTTGGTTTCGGTCCCACACAGCTAAGGAGATCAAATGGGGTGGCGCAAAACATGATCCTGATGACAAGGATGATGGAAGAAAGATGCACCCAACATCATCATTCAAGGCTTTCCTTGAAGTGTTTAAGTAGCGCAGCCTACCTGGGGAAGATGTCGAAATGGATGCCATCCATTCCTTACAACTAATATTGAAAGGATCCTTGCAAGATGAGGTTGTGGACTATGCCAATGCAGTAGTGAATGTTCCATCTGTGGATGATAGGATTCAGAGGGTAGATGAATTGCATATTGTTACAAATGAAATGGTTCACCTAATTGAGACTGCTTCTGTTCCAATTTTGCTATTGATTCCTCTCATAATGTAAATGGATGGAACTCCAAAGCAGCCGAACTAACATGCTATCTTGTTGAAGATAGGTCTTACTGTTGAGCAAGCCATTGGCATGCCTTTTGCTGATCTTGTTGAAGACGAGTCAACTGATATAGTTAAAAACATGCTATCTTTGGCTTTACAAGGTGATAGTATGATTTATCTCTTGAAAGTTATATGCATATATTTGAAATTCATTTCTCATGTCTTAAATGATTTTTGGAATTTTGCACCTTCTTGCTGGTCTTGTCTCTTCTTTATAGATATGCTGATTGTGTTGAATAGTACTAATTTTTTCATATGCAGTTATCAATGTAATGCAAATAACTATTAGTAGGGTACCATTTTTTCTTTTCTTTATCACAACTGAATTGATGTTACTGATTAAGAGGGACTTAGCCATATGTTTTTGTTTGGCTAGGTACTTTAAAATTACAATGCTCTTTCGAAGGGTAATATTCCTTTCATATCTATTCATTGGTCATGATTGATATTCATTATTTCAAAATTACACCTATAAATTGTTTGCCCATCCACAATGTTATTAATGCAATGCAAATAATTGTTAGTAGTATATGAATAATCACCATCCTTGCTCCATTGTTCTAAATATTTTTTAATTTTAACTTTTTATATTGAATTTTATATTTCTTGCTATTGTGCTTTGCTCTTTTAGCTTTCAAGAACTTCATTTTGGATCTTCATCTAATAGCATAATGAAATGGCAGGGATAGAAGAACGTACTGTTGAAATCAAATTAAGGAAATTTGGTTGTCAAGAAACCATGAGGAAATTTGATTGGCAAGAAAACAATGGCCCTATCATTGTTGTAGTTAATGCATGTTGTAGTCGAGACCTGAAGGACAATGTTATTGGGGTTTGCTTGGTTGGGCAAGATGTCACAGGGCAAAAGGTGGTCATGGAAAGATACAACCACATGCAAGGTGACTATGTTGGAATTATGAGAAGCCCATGTGCACTTATTCCTCCTATTTTTATGATGGGTGAGCATGGTCGATGCTTGGAGTTGAATGATGCAATGTAAAAGTTGTCCGGCTTGAAGAGAGAAGAAGCCACTGATAGGATGCTTTTTGGAGAGGTTTTCACAGTCAACAGTTTTGGATGTCAAGTGAAGGATATTAACACCTTAACCAAACTCAAGATCTTATTCAATGGGATAATTGCAGGTCATGATGCTGATAAATTGTTGTTTGGTTTTATGATTAGTAAGGGAAATATGTTAAAGCATTACTTTCAGCAAATAAAAGAATTGATGCTGAGGGAAGGATCATTGGAGTTTTGTGCTTTCTGCATGTTGCTAGTCCAGAACTTCAATATGCCCTTCAGGTGCAAAGGTTGTCAGAACAGGCTGCGGCCAATAGCCTCAATAAGCTGGCATACATTCGTCAGGAACTCAAGAAGCCTCTAAATGGGATTGTGCTTATGCAGGATTTATTGGGCTCTTCTGAATTGGATAAAGAGCAGAAAAAGCTTCTAAAGACAAGCATAATGTGTCAGGAACAGTTAACCAAGATTGTCAATGACAAAGACGTTTAGAGTATTGAGGAATGGTATGATATTTTAACCATAATTGTCTAGTTGCATATTTCTTGGCATTATCGATTATGCTGATCTAGAATATTTAGAATAAGGAGATCATAATTTGGTCCTTTTAATTTTTTTTTTTATATCTTTTTCTTTTGATGTACTCCACTCATGATTGTTTTAACTTCTTTTCTCCTAAAAGGCTGTTAAAGTTAATCTCTGGTATTTTGGTAGTTTAGCTGCTTGTACTTTAATAAGCAATAACTTTTTAACACATTGTGATGCTTGTGACACCTTTTACCAGCTACATGGCAATGAGTTGCAGTGAATTTAACCTTGGAGATGCTCTAAAAGTTGTCATAAAACAAGTCATGATCTTGAGCCTGGAGCGCCAAGTGCATATCATCCAAGATTTACCAGCTGAAGTCTCTTTCATGCCCTTGTATGGAGACAACTTGAGGCTTCAACAAGTCTTTTCAGATTTTTTTGACAAATGCACTCCGCTTCACACTTGCACTTGAAGAATCAACGGTTGCATTCAGGGTAATTCCAAGGAAGAAACATATTGGGACAAAGATATACATTGTTCATCTTGAATTTTGGTAAATATTTTTTCTACAATATATAATGATTGCTTTTCATGTGTAAGTTTGAAGAAATGTAGGTAATATCCAACATTCATGAACTGAAAAGGTCAGAGGCAATTGCACAAAATGTATTGGGGGCATATACTTCTACAAGTGGTAAGGAAATAGAACTATTGAAACAGATGCTAAAAGATGGGGAAACTAGTTACAATAGTGCTTTTACAATAAATTGCATTATTCCTAACTTCTTTTAGTTTAAAATGCCTTCTTTTTTTTTCAATGTCCTCCAAAAATACTAAAATATAGTCAACAATTTAGTTCTTTTCTGGTGAGATTTGTCCCTTTGCTTTGCTTTTGATCTATTTATGTTCTTTGAGTTTAAAAGCACATTCTCTTTTCTTTTTTTCTTTTTTCTTTTTTTCTTTTTTGCTTTTGTGAGATTTTCCCGTTGCTTTTCTTTGCTTTTGTAGAATATATTTGACTATTTAATGGGTATGGGTTTAGTGGTTTACCTTTTTATCCCAAAGGTTTTTTGATTGTTAGATGGACTAGATTTCATTACTATTCCAATAAAGGGTCATCCACCAAACACCACTTAGCATTTATAGCATAAAAATGAATTGAAGGAAATTTTTATCTCTTGCTAAGATAGCCCTTTTAGGTGTTGTTTTATTTGTCCATTTAACTATCATAGATGGAAGACTAGAATCTAATACTAAAACTGCAATCCGGCATCGAGTATAAAGAAAGTAATCTTCACAAGCAAAAATTGTAGAGAAGGGCAAAAAGTTTATGGATTGATGAGTTGCAATTTCACCTTTTTAATATTGCAGTTGATCATGTCCAGAGTGTGATAATCATATTTAATGATACAGAATTGAGCATCTTCATTTTTCTTCCTTTGGTAGTCATTGATGTCCTTTAGATTATTTTGATAATTTCCCTCAATGAATATTCCAAATATTAAAACTCGTTCAACATTTGTGGATTAAAATGCTACTGCATTGAATGGATAAATGACATGTTACTTTTCCATATCCTTGCATGGTAACTAGATTGAAAGACTCAAGATCATAATTGCTAATTTTTTGAGTTAATGTGGCAGGATCACCCATCCAGCACCGGGGATCCTAGAAGATTTAATTCAGGAGATGTTTCATCATAGCCAATGTGCGTCAAGGGAAGGCCTTGGCTTATATATTAGCCAAAAGCTTGTTAAGATTATGAATGGCACTGTGCAGTATCTTAGGGAGGCAGAGAGGTCATCCTTCATTATTCTTATCGAACTGCCATTGGCTTGCGAAGTGGATCATCAAGGAAAACTTGTAACATGAGGAATTTGATGAGCATAGAACATGTTCCTATTTCCTTTACATAAAGAATGTTAGTGCCCCAGTAGGGCTCATAATGTCAAACAAATCAATGGCTCAATGCTTGAGGTTGAGTAACTGCTAGCTGGTCATATCCCCCATATGGTAAGGGTATCAATGCAGGCAAAAGAGAAAAAAATGTAGGCTTAGTTTCTGCCATATCTGCTTACATGTGCCATATCAGATGTTGCTGTAACAGGTGAATTCTTCTCTCAGATGTTCAAGGGTTTCTGGTAATGAAGAAACCTGAAAAGTTTAAGTGAAGATTTTCATATTCTTGTGACATGTAATTGTTGTATTATTCTTCAGCTTATTGTACCTTCTACTAAGATAATATCTAATCCCTCTCCGCTGAATGGGAGAAAGCAGATATTGTTCAGTAAAACCACTGTATCATGAATTGAGTCATTGACCATAGAAAGATCCTTACTGTAATACCCCAAAATTTTGTGATATTTTAACATTAAGTTAAGGACCTTTGTGTGAGAAAATAGTGTTTTGGGGCTTAATGATCAAAATGTCCAACTTGAGGGACTTAAAGAGGGGAAGATTTTAGGATAAGGATCAGCTTCCTTCTTTTTCTTTTTCTTTCTTTCTTTTCTTCCTCCTCAAACCCGATTCTGCTCTTCTTCCCGCTGCAGCCTGAGAAAAAAAAGAAAAAAAGGGGAACCCAGCCATGCCTTGGAAAACCGGTGAGAAAGCTTGGTTTTTGGCCTTCTTTTCTTGCTCTAGAACACAAATTGAACCCAGAAATTCTCCCCCCCTGCTGGAAAATCCAGATCTGCTTTGCTCTGTCCGCCGGCTGCTCTTGTTGTGGGGGCAAATTGCTTGGGTTTTGGGTAGGAAACAGCCATTAAATTCCTTTATTCTTGCTTGAATTGGCTTGGGTTTACCTTAATTGCTCTTGGTTCCTTCAATTTTTGGGTAGCCCGTGAGCTTTCTTCTTCCATGCCGCCGGCCTTCCCCCTGCAGCTCCGGTTTCTACAGCTGGAGAATTATGGTATGTGACAGCCTTTTAAGGCTTAAATTAGCCATTTATTGCTGCCTTGTGTGTGTCCGAAATTCTGCAGAAAATGGGGATAATTCCGGTAGCTTTAGGATGAAGTTTAAGTATTAATTCAAGTGGGATTTATATGATTGAGTGTTAATTGTCTGCTGTGTGATTTTTGGAGAAAATCACGTGAATTAGCTAGTGTTTTGGCCCATTTTTGGAAGTTAGAGTTACTGTTCACGTCATGGTACTGTTCACAAAACACTGTTCACACCCCGAAAGTCAACAATTAACGGGGATTTAAGTGATTAGTTTGTGATATAAGAACGAATTTGGAGATATTTGATCATGTGGAGATTGATAGGAACAGCATCAGGATTAGGGGTGATCCTAATGATAATTTCAGTTTGAATTTGTGGTGATACGATGATTAATTGTGGATATTTTGATTAGGTTTCCGATGGTTCCGTCAGTTAGCATTGAGATTGAATCTTCAGTTTATGCAAGTGAGGTAAGTAAATTATGGTAATGCCCTTTGATTTTAAAAGCATGTTTTGATTTGTTTTTGAAGTGGTGGCAGGACTAAACCCATTTTATACAGAAATGAGCATGATTGATTTGAAATGAGATTTTGATGCTTTTCATTAAATTGAGCATGCCTACTTGGAATTTAATTGATTGTCATGATGATCTGAAAGTGATTGGTGAATTATGTTTTTCTATTAACTTCAGCCTGTTTTGTCTCCGATGTGGTCATGTTTCTATAATCCTGCTAGTGGGAGTTAAACGCTAGCACATGTCGGCACATGTCGGCACATGTCGATATGTTATTGTAACCCTGCTAGTGGGGGTTAAACGCTAGCACATGTCGGCACATGTCGATATGTTATTGTAACCCTGCTAGTGGGGGTTAAACGCTAGCACATGTCGGCACATGTCGATATGTTAGTGATAGAATCGGTTCGTACAAGTGACCCTGCTAGTGGGGATTATACACTAGTAAATCGTGTGCCTGCCAGTGGGAAGTTTAATACACTGGCCATGACCTATAAAGGAGACGTCTATTTCGTTCCCGTACTGTATCCGTTTTGCGTGATTGCACATGTTGGCATGCTATAAGTTTAATAAGGGGCACTCCATATTTATTTACTGAGTTTATCTCATAGTTTTTCCTTGTCCACCATTTCAGGAAGTGAAACCGAGGACGGGGAAACCACAGGAAGTGACGAGTTAGAAAGCTAGCCATTTCGAGATTGATATAGATTTTAGAAATAAATCATGATCTTGTAAGCTAGAGTGTATTTGGAGATTTATGATATCGGAGAAATTTTATAATTTGATCTTCAGATTTTGATGGTATCAGAGTACGATATGATTAAGTTCCGAGCCTTGTGCATTTGTGGGACCCATCTCACGAGTGCACGGCGTCTGTCGCGCCTCGAATTCGGGTTTTGGGGCGTGACACTTACATCCTTTGAAGGGAAAATAGGGAAAGTGGCGCATGATCCTTATCCGTAGAGAGAAAACACCCCCAACTGTGCTAGTAATTAGATAGTAGCGTTCCTCTCCTATACACAATAACCCGCAGGATGACTTTATGTGCAACAAAGAAATTCCCAAATCATAGAGAATCAAGAGCTCATACAACGATTTAGAATAGATGGTAAGATAAGTTGTTGAATAGAACAAAATAGAAAGGCCATAGGGATAGCTTTTAACTGGAAAAAATAGAAGAGGTTTATTTTATTTGCATAATGCATAGGGCAAATGTTAGAATATTATATGTATCTATTCAATTAATAATCCATGCTTATATGATATCATGATTTTCTTCCAATGTTTCTAATTTATGAGTGATTCATGAGTTACTTGAATTAAGCTCCACTTATTTAAGAAACAAGATGTTTTTTCTAAAAATTCTCTAGTGGCCTTGCACTTGTGAAATCTGGATACGGACGTATCATTTACTTTGTTGAAAGTAAGAAAGAAGGATTTTCCCAATGACCCTCTCCTTCTTCATGGTCGACTTCCTTGTGGATGGCAAGAAGAACGTTGGATTAAAATTGAAATCTACGCCTACAGACTATTTGTAAGAGGGAGGGATACCTTTATACAAAATAGATTACGAAATCTACCTTAGATAACTCTAAGGACTTAAACACTACTGTGAATTAAAGTTAACAAATCCTAATTAAACGAAAAAGCATGCAATTTAAAGTAAATTTACGAGAATAAGATGTACCCAAATTAAATTAAACATGTTCATTGTTAAATTAAAATGCTATTTATTGACAGATTTGGAAATTAAACTACTGCAAAATTGGAGATTTTACCCTAATTAAAATTAAAACAAACATGAATAGAAATTAAACTAACATGCTTGAAGTTGAGAAGAAGCGTGAATGCCATATAAGTAATCATTGAATAAATGCTACTTATCATAAACATTAAATTAATTGCAAACAGAAAAAGAACAGTACCTTGAAGAAATTCGAAAGATTGAAGTTCATTGCATAAAACGAAATTGTTGAAGTGAATACATGAATTAATTTGTCTACTGGAATAATGAAAAACAACTTAGATCTATTGGAAATTGTGCTGAAATTCGAAATCTGGAAGCAATTGTAGAGAAAATGAAAGTCTGGAAATTTGCAAGTGTTTGAGTAGGGCTGGCTGTGTGTTCTCCCTTCCAAAATTTCCTTTTTGTTCTCCTTTTGCCAGCAGTAACTCCCCACTTTCTGCAATTACAAAATTGTGGGTGGTTTGTTGAGATAGTGAGATAGTTCAATAGTTGACTTAGTCAGATCTCCTTCCAGATTTTCGCCACCTGTGCCTTTATTTAATAACTCCCTTATCTAATAACTCCCTTTTTTAACTACAATCTCCTCCTATATTTCAGCTAAAACAATCCCTTTTTGACTCAAAGAGATAATTACATGGTAAAATCTTAACTTTATCTTCCTTTTTTGCCAATGTGGCAGATAATCTGTCATGAAGCCCAGAATAAAATTTTGATATAACAAAATCTCCTCCATCCATTTAAATATATTTGACATGTGGCATGATCTTAAATTTTTGCAATTTATGGTGTAAACAATGCCCCATAACACTTGGTTTTATGGAAATAAATCCAAGTGTTTTTAAATTAAATAAATTGTATGCACAACTTCAACTCCCCATTCCACATGTCAGATTTCGGCCACTAAAATGCACATGGTAAATAACTTCAAGATTTGAGAAAGGAGATCTTAAACCTTGAGGTCAAGCCTGCAGAACTGAAGAAACAAATTCCAAAGAAAAGACAGACAAAGCAGAACTTGGCGGTGCAGTGTAACAAACTCCACCTAGATTTAAAAGCAAACCCATAAGCACTTTTCAGCATCAAAGCACAGCTCCCTTCTTTATGCTTGTTGCAACTTGTTTGTTGTATGCCTTGTTCCATTCTATAGAAGGTTGAAATCTTCAAATTAGCACATTTATTGAATTATAAAATGCTAAAAAAGAAAAGAAAATATTGTACACTTCCTACCCCAAATCTATCTCAGGCAGAATTTGTGGTATTTAGACCTCTAGCCTCCCATATGGTAGAATAGTAAGGCTTGAGGTAGATTCCATTTATTTTTTGAGGGTGTAGCTTTCCACTTAGTGATTTAAGCCAATATGCTCTAATGAGTTTAATTTTTATATGCATTTATCTACCCTTTTTGAGCCTAGAATTAAATTTTATGGGTTTTTTGTAACTTAGTTTCACCTTTGTTTATATTAAATTCATTATTTGTGGGTGGAAATTAAGATAGGAATTAATTTTGTAATAAGTGACAATTTGCACATGCTGTAGTAATTTAACCATATCTTTTTCTCTAGGTATCGGATTGAGATGATTCTTTAGGCGTTGGAAAGCTAAGAGGCAGAGCTACAATTGATGTTTTATGAGCTTAACCCAGTTCTAGCTGTATCAATACAGATTTTTGGTTGAAAGTGACGGTTTTGAATGAACAGAATGCAGAAATAAAGAGAATTGGGTTGTGTTTTATAAGTGTGGGCCAACTGCAGTCTAGGCCCAAACTAAAGCCCATTACTCATGTCTGCTAGGGTTAAAAGAAATAAGGGTTTTAATTTCTGGAGAGAGATATATATGCTAGTCGGCAGAACAGAAGGGGGAGCCACACAAACGCGAGAGGAGTTGTTCTGCACATTGGAAGAGAAGCCGTCCAGCCGCCCAGCCTTCTCGCCATCCGCATCTGTCGTTCACCAGCAGCAGAAGAAGACACAAAACCGCACAAATCTGCTCTGCGAATTGAGAACGCAAGAACCAATTCCGTTTGCAGAAGAGCCACGCTGCCGCCCAGCCTTCTTGGGAGATCCCGACCACAGCACACCATTCGGCAAACTGCAATTCTTCATTGTTTGGGTTTTGTTGTTTCTGAACTTTTTATTATGAATTTCTACTGGGATTTATTTTTCATGGTGGTTGAAAACATATACATGTGTGGCTAGAATTCTTTGAACTAGGGATGGATGGATTTTAATTTTTGGAATATGTGACTATTTTTGTTAGTTTAATTCAAGATTTATTGGTTATTTGCATGATGAGTTTATATTATTGAGTTTAATGCAT